TTTTTTTTTTTTTTTTTAAAAAAGTTTGGGGATGGTATGGATTCTAAATTTTCAAAAAACTTAAAGGTACGTATAGATATCTATATTAACAAGTAAACGTCCTTTTATACGAAATAAGCGTTTCGACGTAAACAAACTCGTTGGTAACATTTAAAATTGGACCCCCTGAACAAAATTCCTAGATCCGTCACTGATTATCAACCTACTTCAATGCAATTTTTTTTTTCTTCAAATGGTTGTTGAATTGTAGTTTTGTAGTACTAATCAGAACTTATAATTGTCTAGTCATTATATCTGCCTACAATCTATCGATCTCACCCACCCACTGGGGCGGATACGACTGTAGAAAAATCAACAGAAACCAAAAAAAAATAAATAAATAAATTGTAAAATATATAATAAATAAATAAATAAATAAGAAAAGTAAAATATGATCCAATTTTGTTGCCCATGTGTCCTCTGTCCATTGCCTGTCCTCCCTATTTTCAAATTCAATCAACACATGAAGCTACAATTATTTATTCACTGTAAATTACCAGCCAACCACTAATTTACAACTCACACACACACACAAAACACACATTTATCCAATCATGTGAGTGAGTGTCTACATGTAAATATGTATATGCATATATTACCATCTATCTATATATATTATTAACCATTACAGCTATATTGCCCAAAATTGAATCCAATTATTAATACTAAAAACTCCCTAATTCTCGCCCGCCCACCACCAGGAATGGCGGTCAACTCCTCCAGTCCGCCGCCGCACGATCCCGAAATCGCCGCCTCCTACGCCCCCATCCCCACCGAACCCGAGGCGGCGGAGCGGCCGCGGGTCACCAGGAAGCTCCTCCCCAGCATACTGGTCTCTTCCTTCTTTCTTCTCTCTCTGATTCTCCTGATCGTCAATCAAGGACGGCGAGGACCTCGAGCTGAACTCGGCGGCACAGCCCCTGCGGCCTCCGTGGATTACGTCCCGCCGTCGAGGGGGCCGGCGCAGGGCGTGTCGGAGAAGGTTTTCCGGCGGGTCGGCGGTGGCGGAGGAGATAATCAGAGCTTCGCGTGGACGAACGTTATGCTGACGTGGCAGAGGACGGCGTACCATTTTCAGCCTGAGAAGAATTGGATAAACGGTACATTTTGTGTGGACAATTTAGCTGAAATGAATTAATTGCGAAAATTACCCTGAGATTTAGCCAATTACAGAATAATCATCTTTCATAATTGCACATTAATCCAAATAAACATGGTTTCAAAGGAAAAGTGGGTTACAAATTCAGGGTGGTCTTTGCAATTTATCCTATTGAAATGTCAACATTTTTAGCTTTTTTTTTTCACATATACTTTTGTTTTAAATTATTTTATTGGTCGAAATTTCTAGTAATTTATTTTTTGTTCTTAATGTCCTTGTCAAATAATTTGACCATGTGACCTGAATCCGGCGGTCCCGGCGACGTTCAGATCCTAATGGTGAGTTACTCTATTAAAGCTATTTTTCATTTTTTTTTTTAATTTATAAAGTTGAAAAGGTTGTTTAATTAATTGCAAATTATATCTAGCATATGGTTAGTTGCATTTTTTACTACTTTATATGTGAAAAAAAAAAAGTAGAATCAAATAGGAAAACAACTAAAAAATGAGGTAGTAAATCGAATATCCCAAAAGTGCAAGGCTACGTTAGATAATTTTATTTTTTAAAAAATATTTATGCTTTCACATAAATAGGTAAAATTGTCTTCATAGATAGATAATTGTATTTTTGTAGTTTCTTAAATATATATACTTTCACATACAAATACTATTATTTGAAAAAATAATATCAATATAAATATTTTAGGTGTATATATATATTTATATTTAAAATATGACCGCCTAACATAATTTTTAGGTGCGGCAAGTACTATTTGATCTGCTAAGCACATGTTAATAAGAATATTAAAATGAAACACGATAATATATCACATCCCACATAAAATGTGTGGTGGGAAAGTGTGCTCCCTTTCCAAATGCATAGCAATGCAATAATTGGTTTCAATTAATATTGAGTGTGGTCCAATGAGATGGGGCCAATATTTTTTCTTGCCTAATTGTTGAAATTAAAGATATGACACGTGCGCTTGAGTTGTCAATTAGGCAGATGAGAAGTTAATTCAAAATTAAACTCCAAATCTTGTGAGAAACTACATATTGTATTTATACAAATATATATATATATATTATAAATTAAATAAATAAATAACATTAATTATGAATTACCTATTGCTTATCGAACAACCCGACCGGATGAATCGGTAATCGACTTAATAATCGGTCCAGTTCTCTTGAATAGAGCGTTTGCTAGCGAGCCGGTCATTACCAGTCGATCGGACAGATAGGGTCAGTTCGATTTTTTAAACAAAATTTATTACGTTTAAATTATTTTTAATATATAAAAAAATATATGTAAGTAGAATGCAAATTTATAAATTGTTCATCGAATGGTGTAAACTTTTAAATTTTTTTAGATATTTAACTTATATTTTTATATAAATTTATTACTAAAAGTAGTGTATATATTAAGATCTTAATAGCTTGGTCTTCTCGAATCAAAATCCGTGCTTCCTCAGCGCGAGTTCTTGTTGTATTCCCTAGTTCGACTTCTATGATTGAACTTGGCCCAACTAATAAATTATTTAATAAATAACTTGCTCGGTTCAATGACAGTCCAGTTCTGAGAACCTTGAATTTATCGTACATTAATAAAATTGCAATACAATATCATTTTGTTTACATAAATATTAATAAAAGAATATATACATAGTCATAAATCATTAATCATGTTTGTCTGAAAAGCATTTTTGACATAGTTATTTGGAGTTTGGACTACATTAATAAAATATTTTTAATATCAGATTTTTAAATTTTATCGTCAGACATTTCTAAAAGTTGCTTAAAGTTAGAATTTTTGTTTGTTTTATTTTTATTTTTCTTCTGTTATATGTTGTATATTAGGATCAATTATTTATAGCGGATTATTAATCCTCCCTATATATAATTCCCGAATGCGCTGAGCCTACGTGGCTGTTTCTGGTGCTTCGGAATCTTACTTGGCAAAGAATCATGCTTCGTAATTAGGTTTGAACAAATAATAGTGATATTAATAATTTATAATCTAGGTTCGGACATTCCATAAATATTATTTAGCTAACTTAGGTATTTTAATAACACTTGTACTAATATAACCCTTTAATTCTTTGTAATTTTACATGGTGAGACACTAAATGACTAATATATCCCTGACTTTTGATTTGCTTCCTTAAATTAGTTATTAAATAGTAAATGTATTTTAAAAGTTGATAACTTTTATATATTTTTATAGGTTTTACATATATAATATATCAAGTTAATCATATTTTGACGATATTTGATTTGACATCCATATTGTATATATGAAATAAATAGATTATATTTATCTTTATAATAATAAAAAATAATAATATTTATTAAAATTTCTTAGAAAAATAAAATTATTTCTCAATTCACATATTTATGTTTAATGTAGTTATATGCTGTAAATTAAAAAAAAAATTATTATAATATAACACATGTAAGTCGCACAAATAAAAAATGTCATATTAAATATATAATAATACATATATATTTATAAAAGATATTTAAATTTTCAACTACTTTTTCTTATTAATTTTAAATTTTAAGAAAAAAAATTAGCAAGCACCCGTGTAATACACGGGCGTTGTACTAGTGTAATTGTGTTACTTAATTTAATTTATATCTTTTGTGGACAGTATGATTTTTTTTTTTTTTTTAAACGGTAAATTTTATAACAAAAACAACAAAAATATAGAAGTTTTGTGGACAGTATGATTTAAATGCAATCAGTTTGCGTGTAAAAATTCGATGATTGCCTTTGAAACTATAATATAATAATGTTCACGAGATTAACATCTTTGACCGTACTGGTTTCTTCTTTTGATTGTCGACGACATATATAATTCATTTATCTATTTATTATTAACTTTATCTTACCGGTAAAAACCAACACAGGCCCTTTATACCACAAAGGTTGGTATCACTTGTTTTACCAATACAACCCGGACTCCGCCGTATGGGGCAACATCACGTGGGGCCATGCAGTCTCAATTGACCTCGTCCGCTGGCTCCATCTCCCCTTGTCACTAGTTCCCGACCAATGGTACGACATAAACGGCGTCTGGTCCGGGTCGGCCACGACCCTACCAGACGGCCGCATCGTCATGTTGTACACTGGGGACACAAAGGACGCCGTCCAGGTACAATGCCTCGCCTACCCAGCAAACCTCTCCGACCCGCTCCTCCTCGACTGGGTCAAGCACCCGTCCAACCCGGTCCTCGTCCCACCGCCCGGCGTCGGGCCCAAGGACTTCCGGGACCCCACCACCGCCTGGCTCAGCCCCAGAGGCGACAGGTGGCGGATCACAATTGGGTCGAAGGTCGACAAGACAGGGGTCTCTCTCGTATACGAGACGAAGGATTTCGTTGAGTACGAATTGTTAGACGGGTACTTGAATGCGGTGCCCGGGACGGGCATGTGGGAGTGCATCGACTTTTACCCGGTCTCGTTGACCGAGTCGAACGGGCTGGACACGTCGGAAAACGGGCCGGAGGTGAAGCACGTGATGAAAGCCAGCTTGGATGATGAGAAGAACGATTACTACGCGATCGGGAGTTACGACCCGTTTAGGAATAAGTGGCGTGCGGATGATCCGGAAAAAGATGTGGGGATAGGGCTGAGGTACGATTACGGGAAGTATTACGCGTCTAAGACGTTTTACGATCAGGATAAGGAGAGGAGGATTTTGTGGGGGTGGATTAGGGAGACTGATGCTGAGGAGCTTGATGTTTTGAAAGGCTGGTCTGGTGTTCAGGTTCGAGCTTTTTTACTTGAAAATAAGATCAATTTAATTATTTTCTTCATCTAAAAGTATGAATTCTTTTTTTCATGATAATTCTGTCGCAGTCGATACCGAGGACAATCGTGCTCGACAAAAAGACAGGGAGCAACTTGCTTCAGTGGCCGGTTGAGGAAGTCGAGAGCCTGAGATCGGACAGTGTGGAGTTTAATGATGTGAAGCTTGGTCCTGGATCAGTCACACTACTCAAAGTAGACTCTGCATCACAGGTTTTTGGTTTTTTCCCCCTGTTTTTCTCGAAAAGTGAAAAAAATTGATCTATATATTAGTGTGCTTACAGAAAAACTGCTTTTTACTGGGTGTGGTGCAGCTGGATCTAGTTGCCTTGTTCGAAATTGACCATCAAGAGGCAGCAAAGGCTTTTGATGAAGCCGAGACGGGCTACGATTGCCCGACGAGTGGTGGGGCCGTCACAAGAGGAGTTTTGGGGCCGTTCGGGATTGTTGTCCTTGCTGACGAGGCACTTTCTGAACTGACTCCAATCTATTTTTACATAGCTAAAGGGACTGATGGAAAGGTTGAGACTCATTTTTGTGCCGATGAATTGAGGTCTGTTTCTTTGTTGTGTTCTTGTTTTTTATGTTCTTGTTAAATGTTTGTTATGTTCCTAACAAACCTATAATTGATACAACTTCAGATCATCAAAAGCTGGCGATGTTGAGAAAATAGTTTACGGAAGTAAAGTCCCTGTGCTCAATGGCGAAAAACTATCTATCAGATCATTGGTGAGTATTCTTCTTTTTGTCTTTTCTTGAGATATGAAGTTGATACCAAAAGAGAATAATTGAATTTAAAAAAAAATAAATAAATTATCCAGGTGGATCATTCGATTGTCGAGAGCTTTGCTCAAGGAGGGAGAACAGTAATCACGTCAAGAGTGTACCCGACCAAGGCCATTGATGGTGCTGCTCGTGTTTTCTTGTTCAACAACGCCACACGAGCCAGCGTGACTGCATCTGTCAAGATATGGAAAATGGACTCGGCTGAAATTCGACCTTTCCCATTTGATTAGATAAGCAGATCTATTTTTTCAGTATTTTCTTCCCATTTGAGTTCGGATTTCATAGTGATTGTTGTAGAGAAAAAATTGTATTTTTTACCTCCATTGCTTGTGAGTTAATTGTTTGAGATGCCATTGCTTGTGAGGCTGGGCATATTCTTCGTCTACGTGCAGCAGAAGGCATTCCCAATTAATCCGACCTCTGTAATCAAATGTATGTGGAAATGTGGTGTTCGATTTTTATTCATCCTTCTTTTTTCCTTATCTTCTCTTTTTCTAGCTAAAGCTTGTAATGAAACTTCTGTGATATACGAGTGAGGTTACCGTTGTGTGTTTTTGTACATGCAGTTGAAAGTAAGAAATGCAGATTTGTAAGAGTAACCTGTTTTCATTTGTTTTAGATGTTTTGAACTTCTCCACTATTTTTGTTATGAGTTTTGGATTGTTATAACTGATCCTTCTATTATTTCTGACACGTGTATTTATATTTGTGTATAGAATTGTTGAATGAACAAACCTGCTTGTGGGCTCAGCTCGACTCGCTAAAGCTCGAGTACGGCTTGGATAATTTAATAAATGAGTCGATCATAGCTCGACTCGGCTTAATACGTTTATATGTAATTTTGTGAGTGATGGAACTGGCTTGGCTCTTAAAGGCTCGAGTTCGGTTTTGATGTGCCTTGCTTAGGTTATACTTGAATCTGCAAGTTAGAATACTTTTGTTGAATACATTTTTTTTATTTTAATTTTGTTTTGCTTTTCTGATTTTTATCTCTCTCTCTCTATATATATATATAAATACATATTTATATTAGTTATTTTATTTTTGGTAGAAGATTATTATTATATAGTTTCCTTTCTCAATAGGATTCTTACTTGGAGCTGAAGAGATATAGATGGACATTATCTCTTGGAGATCAGCAAGAAGAAAAAAAAAAGCCTGCGTGAGTTTTTTTTAAAGAAAGTGGCAATCAATTGTAAAAACTAAGAGCAGCAATCAGATTCTTCTTTGAGCATAAAGGTGTGGGTTTGAAGTGCTGAGGGTGTTATCATTGAGAGGAAGAACACACAAACAATACACCTCTTTGTTTTCCTTTTACTGAAGCATCAACGTGGATCACTAGCGTGCGGCAATTTTTTTGGAAGAACACGGACGAGCAAGATGAGCTCTTGACGACAAGGATTTTCCGGGCTTGTGTTCTTTATTACTATTCATTCATCATTCTCTTGGGATTATTTTGTTATTCGCTTTTTGATAGTTTGATTTGATAGAGAGCATCTCGTTTAAACTCGCGTTTTGTTTTTCGTTATTCACTAGACGTGTTGGGATTGCAAAAAAAAAACATTGTATTTGATTTGATCTAGTGATATTTTGGCATGTGGCCTTAGTCTACAAGTATATTAACTTGTAGGCTAAATTTTGAATTATTCGTATTTATTTATTTTCCGTTGCGTAATTTCAATTCTGATCTTTGTGTCAAAATCTGGATATTTACGTACCTATAATTCTAACAAGTGGCATCAGAGCGGGTCACTTAATTTAATAAGTGTGATTCTGATTTTTTTAGGTACGTATGAAGTTTACGGGGTTGCCGTTACCCACACTTGTTCCGAACCGGCCAAAGTCATCCAACGAGACGATGAAATATGATGAATATGATGCATCCGAGGAATCCTCGGTTGAGTATGAACCTCAAACTGCCTCCGGATCTGATATTAAGATAACCATGGACGAATCGAGGTCAAGAAAAATCAGTCCAGCAGGTGTCAGACGAAATGTCGCCCGAAGTGTCATGACACCTGGCAGGTATGAAAATGAAAATTCTGAATTTTTTTGCTTTACCTCCTTGTTTTGTGATGCTTCAGGCAGGGATTTAGGTCCTCCGAGCAGCCTTCAATTTGTTAGGTTTGAAGATCATGAAGAAGTGTACGTGGAACTTCATAAACGCTTTATAGATGCCGTCTGGGATGCAGATAGGCTCGAGAAGGAAAACAATAAGCTAAAGGAAGAGAATAAGAGGATGAAGTCAGAGGCTAAAAAGTTGGAAGAGGAGAATGATGCTTTGAAGTCTACCGTAACCCAATTGGAAGTGACCATCTCTGGTCATGACCAAAAGTTGGTGAAGGTAAGAGAGGAACTTGAATACTCTCGTCAGACCTTCCAACGACTTAACACCGGTAAGAGCCAATTGGATGTCCTAGCTGCTCTTGAACATAATCATAAGAAAGCGGGACTTGGTTTTAAGCCTACTATATTTGTTCGTCCATTAGAGGAAGAAGGTGAGTCCTCAAAATCTACGCCTAAAATTTTTAAGAATACTAAACAACGAAGGCGCGGTATGTTTGCCATTATTGTCATGCACCCGGGCACATTAGACCTTATTGTTATAAATTGCATTCATTTGATAGGTCTTTTGAACCAATGGTGCCTCTCGTTTCTCGTAATATGCCTAAAAATCACAAAACTAGGGCTAAAGAAAAATTTGTTTGGGTACCAAAATCTGAGTTGAAATGCAATGTTATTCATACTTCTATGAAGCCTAATATTGCAGGATCGTGGTACTTTGATAGCGGGTGTTCGCGACACATGACTGGCACTCGTGAGTTCTTGTCCGATGTAGAACCTTATGAAGGTGGGCGTGTTACATACGGGGGAGGTGAACATGGAAAGATTATTGGACGTGGAACACTCAATGTTGATGGTCTCCCAAAGCTTCAAAATGTGTTGTTGGTTGATGGACTTAAGGCTAACTTGATTAGCATAAGTCAACTTTGTGATGATAATATCCATGTTAAATTTGATAGTAAATCTTGTGAAGTTTTTGATGAGTCTAATTCATGTATTTTGGCAGGTGTACGAACTACCCAAAATTGTTATCGGGTAAAAACTGCTGAGGATGACGTTCGGGACTTGACGGACCTTCCGCTATGTAGTGCTGCTCCAGATGTCGTCCCAGATGTCGCCCCAGATGTCATGACATCTGACAGAGCACCAGACACAGCATCTGAAGCGACACACATCTCTGACGAGCAAAATACCATTTCCGAGGCTGAGACAAGATCTGATGATGATGTTCCTGATCAGGGAAGAGTTCTTCGGAGATTCCATCCTTCTTCGCAATCCGTTGGTGAGGTAACAAAGGGTAGATTGTTTTATCCCATGGTAAGAAAATTGTGTAGTGTTAATGATAATTTTCTTGAGAGCATGCTTGTGAATAATATGGTGTCTTTGCATGGTATGAGATCGATTTTTTCTTGTTGTCGACTTTTACGGATAAATCGAATGATTGAGAATTATTGTCGACATAGTGATTTATTAACCGTATATTGTGATAGCAAGAGTGCGATTGATATTTCAAAAAATCCGGTTCAACATTCTTGCACAAAACACATAGATATAAGACATCACTTTATTCGGGATTTGGTT